ATAAATCCTGGGGCCAGTCTCATGTTGACCAGTTAGAGAGAGTTATGTAAGCTTCGGTCCCTCCATACCCTAAAAGGATATGCCACTATTTCAAAGATGGCTGTAGATTATGAAAATAGCCATGATGAGGCCATCGATGATAATAATATTAATAACAGCTAATACTCTTGGAACGTTTGCTGTGTGTCGGGATGTGGGTTTAAGGTTTTACTGCCACGTGTCATTTAAACTTGGAATGACCCATAAGGAAACGTATTTCTATTGGGCCCGTTTTACAACACAGAAATGGAGGCACAGAAAACCTGAGTGACTTCTTCAGAGTCACATGGCCACCAAATGAGTCTGTCTGCTCAGTCAATGGCTTCATGGACAGAAGAGTCTGAGGTTCTCTTGTTCTTCTGCTGGGATTGTCATCATCTCAGAGATGCACAGCCCTAACAATCAGTGACAGTGGGTGCAGCGAGTAGGGAGGGAGAGAAAGGATGTGTGTATTGGGCTTGGGATCAGTGGGTTCTGGGGCTCCAGAGCTGAACTTCTGCCTAAAATGCACCTTTTGCAAACAACATTTATTTTTCTAACAAACCCTTAAGACTTCAGGCAGGATTTTCATGATCTCACTTGAAGCAGATGGGCAACAAAGACCCCATATATCTGGACATGGAAGATAGAAAGTCAGAAAAAGTAGTCACAGAGTTAACTGTGCCTCTATGTGGGACAGGATGAGTAGTCTTTTGTTGTTTGCCAACGACTACCCTGATTGCTCCACAAAGAGGTACATGGTGCCTGGAAGTCTGACTCATCACCTCAGACACCTGTCCATGATTAAACACCCCCATGCCCAGACTGTACATTCTTACTTCTTTGTGCCATTGCATGGGTTCTAGATGCCTGAGGGCACGGTGACACAGAGGCCAGAAGTTTCGTGGTTAGGCACATTTCTGCCTTAATACCAGGCCCATGTGAGTGGGGGCCTGATGCAGGAATGACAAATCTAGGACACCACACCCTGTGCTTCCCCTAACTGAAGCCACCCCACTGCACCTGAGCCCGAACGAGGAAATGCTTGCAGGGAGGACACAAGCTGGTTTTGGTCCCACTTCCTGGTCCCTTCTTGATGCCTCCAGATGTGGGCTCCATGGAGCAGGACTTGGTTACCATGCAGCTTCTCGCCTGGAGGAAGCCTTTGCACCCTGTGAGCACCCAATAGCTGCTCGGTGAATGAAGGTATTCCAAGGCAGAGTTCTGAGAGACATTGAGAATTCTACTGGACTTCCCACTTTTAGTCCTTTGAATAATTCAGGTAATGGGAGGACAGGAAGTTTTTCAAACCTGGGTGTTCTTTGTAACATCTGTGCCAAGTCTAAAGAGCACCTTCTAGAATGAGCTGCCCTCCCTGTAAGGGGCCACCCCTCAGCCTGTGGGACTCTGCAGGCAGAGAGGAAGGTGAACCCTGAAAGGGGAAGAAAGTGGGTAAGACTGGGGGCAGCCTGGAGTATGAGACACAGACAGACAGACCCAGGCACACACACGGCAGATGGAGAGTTGGGAAAGGCAGGGCTGGGTTGAGGAGGAATTGGGAAGCAAAAGAACCTGTATGTCCAAGAGCCAAATTTAGGGTGTGAAAGTCAGAGTTCGTTTTGCTGAAGAGAGTCAACAAAAGAACCAAGGCAAGGGGAGTCAGTAACTGCAAGACTTCAGATCTGCATAAGAGGCATGGTTAGGTGTAGGATCCTGTGGCCCCAGCGATCCGTCTCCAGTGAGATGAGTTTTACAGAAAAAGAAGACAAACACGTCAGAGAATGAATCACACAGAGGTAGTTATTATCATGCTAATTCTCTCTTGCCTAGGAGAGAGAAGAGTCATCAGAGGGTTTGCATCCAACAAAAGCAGAATGCAATCACTAATGTAACAGTATTAAGAGGTGTGGCCTACAAGAGGTGATTGAGTCATGAGGGCAGAGCTCTCATGAATGGATTAATGTTTTTATCATGAAAGTTAGTTCTTGAGGGAGCGAGTTTTTATAAAAGTGAGATTGGCTCTCTCTTGTGCTCTCTTTGGCATGCACTTGCTTCCCCTTTCACTTTCTGCTGTGTTATGACACAGCATGAAGGCCCTTGCCAGATGCCAGCATCATGCTTTTGGACTTCCCAACTTCTAGAATCATGTGCTAAATAAACTTATTTTCTTAAAAAAAAAAAAAAAAAGAAAAAGAAAAGAGAAGAGGACCAAACATCTGGAAGAAGCAATTCCTTCCCCTCCTATTGGATAAGCCTCTTGACAGAAAGCAGTTCAGTGTCCCTCAGGCTGGTTTTCTCTGGACTTGTTAGGTAGATCACAAGAGAAAACAATTACAATTTTTGGAAGACTTTCCAAACATCTTGGAAGTTTAGCTCCGGAATACATGCCAGAGCAGGCAGTGTCCACCACGTGCTTCTGCTGTACCTCAGTAGGGCACTACCCCACTCACTGGTCCAGCAGATTCATATATGGAAAATTTGCTGTGCTGGCAATAGCACAAAGGAAAAGGCTCTCTCATTCAGTTGGAAAAATACATTGCAAGATAAATGGGCACACCTCTTACTGAAGTCAAACTAGGAACACGTAAAGAGATGCCTTCTTCTCCCAGCAATGGTGGAGTAACAGATACTCAATTTACTCTCTCTCTGTCTTTTTTTTTTTTTGAGATGGAATCTTGCTCTGTCACCCAGGCTGGAGTGCAGTGGTGTGAGCTGGGCTTACTGCAATGTCTGCCTCCCAGGTTCAAGAAACTCTCCTGCTTCAGCCTCCTGAGTAGCTGAGTACAGTCGTGTGCCACCACTCCTGGCTAATTTTTGTATTTTTAATAGAGACGGGGTATCACCATGTGGGTCAGGCTGGTCTCAAACTCCTGACTTCATGATCTGCCTGCCTCGGCCTCCCAAAGAGCTGGGATTTTAGGAATGGACCACTGCGTACAGCCTCGATTTACTCTCTTGCCTGAATCCTGGCCACTGCTCCTCTCCCCAAACAGAAAGACAAAATACATGAAATTACAGTTTTCAAGACACTGGAAATGAGGTGACAAAGGACAGCAACCCCTGAGGGATGAGAAAGAAACAAGGTGAGCCCTACCAGTTGCCCCAGCTTGCTGCCTTCAGGGAGTTCCCAGGCTAGGCCCCAGGCAGGAATCTGAGGCCAGCTCCCTGGATTGAGGGGATGAAGCTGAACCTCCATGGAAAGCGAGGCAGCTAGGGCTCATAGAATAAAGATGCAGCGGTGAGAGACGTGGACGGAGAGAGAATCTGGGAAAATGGGAAGGGTCTCTCTTAGGTAGTTAGCAGCACATGCTTGTGAAGAGACTGCCCAAGGCCAAGAAAGGAAAGGGTTATGAAACAGTGCCTGGTGCTCACAGGGCAGGAGATCCCACTTGCTCCCACCAGCTCAACAGGACTACTTATAATCCATGGGGCATTTGAGGAGAATCCTTAAGAAGGCCATCCTTCAGTAGTGGGAATAATGAGTTCTATCTACACTGACCTGCCCCCAAAAGAAATCATAAAAGCAATACCCAAAAGGATTAAATTGATCCCAAGTCACTTAACTGGTATCCCAGAACAAGAACAACAAAAAATAACCTGGTATTAAAAGTTTTACTGGGGATAGCATCATAGCCAGTGGACAAAAGGGAAACTTCACAATGTCTGACATCCAGTCAAAGAAGAGCAGGCATGTAAAGGGGCAGGAAACCAGGACACATAACGAAGAAAATAACCAATGGAAACGGAACCAGAGCTGACCTGATAGTAGAATTAGCCAAGAGGAGTTTAAAACAGTTATTATGACCATACTTCATGGGCCCAAAGAATTAAGTAGAGACATGGAACATGTCAAAATGACCCACATCAAACTTTGGAGATGAAAACCACACCATCAGGGATGAGGTGCTGTGCCTTATGCCTGTAATCCCAGCACTTGGGGAGGCAGAGGCGGGCGGATCCCTTGAGCTCAGGAGTTTCAGATCAGCCTGGACAATGGGACAAAACCTCGTGTCTACCAAAAATTACAAATAATCAGCCAGGTATGGAGATGTGTGCCTGCAGTCCCAGCTACTCAGGAGGTTGTGATGGGTGGATCGTTTGAGCCTGGGAGGTGGAGGTTGCAGTGAGCTAAGATAACATAATTTGCAGTACAGCATGGGGTACAGGGTGAGACCCTGTCTCGAAAGAAGAAAGAAAAGAAAGAAAGAAAGAGAGAGAGAGAGAGATAGAAAGAAGGGAGGAAGGAGAAAGAAAGAGAGAAAAGAAACCCACAATATCACAGATAGACAATACATTTGCTAGAAGGGATTAACCGCAGATTAGACATTGCAGAAGAAATGATTAAGGAACCTGGAACCATGAATAATTGAAAATATGTAGAATGAAACTCACAGGCAACAGATTTTTTTTTTTTTAATGAAAAGATTATCAGTGAACTGTAGGGAAGACTAAAAGGCCTAATTTATGAGTAATGGGAGTCCCTGAAAAGAAGGGAGGAGGAAAGGAACCATTTAATTTCTTTCTTCATTTTTATTAGGGGTGGGCTCTCACTATATTGCCCAGGCTGATCTCGAACTGCAGGCCCCACTCTGACACCTCCTGACTCGACCTCCAGAAGGTGTGAGCCACTGTGCCTGGCCCATTTCTGAAGAAGTAATAGCTGCAAAGCTCCCAATCATAATGAAAATTATAAATCCAGTGACCCAGGGAGCTGAGGAAACTGAAACACAAGACACATGGAGAAAACCACTCCTAGATACATCATGATAACATTGCCCGAATCCAGCCAGAAGAAGACACTACATACGCAGGAGCAAAAACGAAGATGGCATCAGCTTTCTTTCTGCTCTTGCCGGCCTCTACCAGGAGCAGCAATACTTGTGAGCAGACAGCAAAGCAGAATCTTTAACGTACTGAGGATGGGGGACGTTAACCTAGAATACGATATCAGAACAAATGTATTTTCAAAAGTGGAAGTGAAACAAGGACATGTAGTGACATACAAAAGCCGACCGAATTCACTTCGAGCTGACCCACACTACAAGAAACGTCAAAGGATCCTCCAGGCAGAAGGAAACTGATACCAGATAAAAATCCACATCCACACAAGGAAATGAGCGTCAGAAATGGGTCACTACACTAGTAATTTTTTGTTTTGTAAACCTCTTTTGTAAAAGTTTGACTATTTAAACAAAGGCAATACCAATGGGTTGTGGGGTTTATAACACGTGTAAAAGCAAAGTGCATGTCGGTGATAGTGTCAAGGCCAGAAGGGGAGGTATGAGATCACTTGAAGGTTGACTGTGATAAGTTAAAAAGGTATACTATAAGCCCTAAGGCAATTACTAAAATAACAAAAGAAAGAGTTCTAGCTAATGAGCCAAGAGAGCAGAAAATGGAATGATATGAAAACTGCCTGAACGCTATGATAGAGTAATTGCTCTTTCTGTAGTGATTGCACCTCTGTCCCACAGAAATACAAAACTACCATGAACACCTGTACAAGAATGACTAGAGCATTATATGTAATCGAAAAATCTTAGAACCAATTTAACTTCAAAAGCATATGAAAAGGGCTAAATGAATAACAGTAAAAAAAAAAAAATAGAGACAGAAACAGAGAGGACTTTGTCAAATGAAATTAAGGAATGGGTGTTCACAGAATCCTAGCAGACCTTGATTTATGTCTTCAAGTCCTACAGGAGACACAAAGGGGAGGAGGGTAAAGTAGGTCTCACTCTGCCTTTCCATGAGAGGATGTGCTAGACAGAAGAAAGCTGCCCATGGTTTAAGGATTTTTCAAATGCAAGAGACACTCCGGAAAAGGCCTCGAACCGCCCGCCTCCAGCATTGGAAACAAGCACACCAACTGGCTGCACCACACGGAAGGTCGAAGTGTGCTCAGGCCTCACCATGCAGAGCCAGCCCCATGTGACGCTAGCTGAGCCACCACCTTCTGTAGAAAAATTGTTCAGGCTCCAAAGCTTCGGAAACCAGAAGAGATGTATTTTGCCGGCTTATGTTGAAACCAGTGCATTGGGCAATTCCGAAGCTAAAAGTGCAGTTGAATGGTCTTCGCCCAGTCCTGCCCCTAGCCAGGGCTAGTGTCAGAGCCAGCATCCTGGGAAACACCCGGGTTCACGACTCCCTTCCCTGAGTCAACTGGCATCAGTCGGTGATACAGGAGAAAGGGCGAAAAGCAGAAATGCAGAGAGGTGGGAGAGAAGCAGAGGATGTGTGGACGAGGACAGGGAGACCTCCTGAGAGAGGCGGGTACAGGGGGGCCCAGGCTGCAGTGGAGATGAGAATTGTTCTCACCTGTGAAAATTGGGGGGAAGGGAGGGAAAAGCAGAGCAGGCAGGAAAGGAAGAAAAGCGTGAGCTCGCAGTGGTGGTCTTGCCACAAAGCTGCCTAATATCGAAATCTACTGATGTCAACAGTACTAGAGCAAGCTCAGGGGTCACTTGGCCAGTGGCTAGCTGTGATGGTACAGTGGCCAATACTCTGCATTGTAGCCACAGCAGCCTCTGTTCGAATCTGAATTATGGCAGTGTTGTTCCTCTTGGCCATCAACTCCCTTTTGATCCTCGAACCAAGGGTGTCAGGGGATGGGAAAGAGACCTCACAGCTCACTAACCTGGGAAGAAGTCCAAGGGAAACCCTGCTTGGCACAGCAAATAACCCAGTCACCTGTGTTGGTGGCTTACATGAAGCCAATGGTGTGCTCAGAACTGGTTTTCTGGTCTCTGGGGTTGTTATACATGAAAGGACATAAGCTTTTAATGACTTTGAACTCCAAACTGTGTCATGGTCTACACTGGTTTGTCTGTGTGCCCTGTCACCAAGTTTGTATGGTAACAGGAAAGCGTGGGGAAAGGCAATCTCATGAAAGGAGTCTTTCCACCTCCACTCCACCACATAGGAATGGACCTTGGGCCTGCGGCACTTCCTTCCCAAGAGGTAAGGAGTCCTCACAGCCTGTTCTGGACTCACCTCTTAGTGTGGGAATATCTTTCTCTGGGTCAGACTCAGTATGCCCCCCTTTGTTACTCTTAAACACGAGCATCAACCCCACTGCTGTATCTGCCCCCCTCAGGGGAGGGTGGGCCCTTCTTTCTGTTTCTCAAGAGGCTGTGTATGCAGGCCAAATAGCCCTGCTGCACCCAGAAGGACCTGCTGGCCATGGGATCAACAGCCACCACGAAAGCAGACCCCACTCCATCTCCTCCTTGTGTGAATAAAGTGTTGTTCTTCCATCCAATGCTTGACTGCATTGTATTTTCCTTGGTGATTCTGATACCAAGGCTGGGGTCAGAAGTGTTCAGACTTATACTCCTGCTGATAGGAAACAGGTGCCACTTGCTGGACAAGATGAATGAATATTCTTGTGTGGGTCTTTTTGTCAACACATGCATTCATTTCAAGTACTAGAATTGTTGGGTCATTAGGTAGGTATAAGGTTAACTTTACTAGAAATGGCCAATGGGCTTTTCCAGAATCGTTTCTCAGCACCAAGGAGAGTTCCACTGGTTGCACATGCTTAACAGCATGTGGTGTTTGCTGCCTTTTAAATATACCCATGCTGGTGGATGGGAACCCTCTACCCATAGGTAACATTTATTTTCTAAACACCAGTGGCTGTCTTAGTCTACAAGCAGGCATCTATTTTTGTCACTCAGATCACATTACATGCCTCCTGGACTGGGTGCCTGGCAAGCTCTGAAGCCCTTGACTCAAAGAAACAGATGGCTCAAGAGATCCCCTTGCCTCAGCCTCCAAGTAGCTGGGATTTCAGGCATACACCACCACACACAGCTACTTACAGTTTTTTTATTTTTATTTTTGGTAGCAACGAGGTCTCATTATGTTGCCCAGACGTGATTCCAAATTTTGATAGCATGCCAGACAATTGTGAATTTTCTCTTGTTGATTGTTGGATACTTTTGTGATCCTACAAATTTTGAGTTTTGTTTAGGGATGCACTCGCGTTGCCGGAAAGAAGTTTGAACTTTTCAGGTCTTGCATTTCTGATTTGTCGGGGGGGTCCACAGAAGTGCCCAGTCTAGGGGAAATAAGTTCCTACTACTCAGTCAAACCTTTCTGAGTTCTCTACCCTTGCCTTGTGAATTCTGAGGCATTCGTATTCTCCTCTGTCTGCTCTTTGGAAATAGATGCTATTCCACCCCTGTGTGAGTGCCAGACTCTATTCCCTCCCATCTTTTCAAATGGTTTTTCCTCTAATAGACCCAGGTAGTTTTCTAGTATGTCTCAGCACTGTGCTGCATGCCAGCTGTCGTGCTCTGCAGTTATTCCTGATTCACTTTCCTCGGCTCCCTCGCCCTCCTCTCTCTATGGACTCTATGATACCGCAGGTTCCCTGGACTCTCAGCTCAGCGTCTTCAACACAAAGAGCCCATTCAGATCCTCTTCACTTTCCCCTCCCTGTGCCTGATGTGGAAACCTTCTCAAGGCAGTAAGTTAGGCCAATTATAGGGTTCTCATGTCTGGTGCCAGTTTCTCAGGAACCAGTGATCTGTCCTTTTCTGCCTCATGTTTATTACCTTGAAAATATTCCTTCTGTGGATTTTGCCCATTTTATATTTTTTCTTCGTTGTTTCATGTAGGATAGTTCAATGCTATTCCTTTTACTTCACAGGAGTTGCAGCAACTCTATTTTTAGAAATAGAAACTGGAAAATGTTATGTGTGTACCTGTGCAACAATATTACATGTTCTTCACATGTACCCCCGAAGCTAAAATACAATTAAAAAAAAGAAAGAAAGAAAATGTTAATCTAGATTCTAAATAAGGAATTATACAGAGTGTTCAATGTATTTCATACTATGTGGAATAATGACATAAAGAAAACTCTTAGTTCCTTGCTGAGTGTGGTGGCTCACGTCTGTAGTCCCAGCACCTTGGGAGGCCAAGGCAGGTGGATCACGAGGTCAGGAGTTCGAAACCGACCTGGCCAAGATGGTAAAACTCTGTCTCTACTAAAAATACAAAAAATTATCTGGGTGTGGTGGCATGTGCCTGTAATCCCAGCTACTCAGGAGGTTGGGGTGGAGAATTGCTTAAACCTGGAGGGCAGAGGTTGCAGTGAGCTGAGATCACCCCACTGCACTCCAGCCTGAGGTACAGAGCCAGACTCTGTCTAAAAAACTAAAGACAGAAAGAAAGAAAGAAAGAAAACCTTTGGTTTCTGTATTTAATAGGCACCTTTCCATTTCTAACAACAGTTTCTGCTTGTCCCTATGTAGGGGAGTGTAGGAGCCCCTCATCCCATTCCCCAAGAGCTGAGCACATGTTCCTGTGAGGTCTGCAGTGAAAACCTGTCCTTTGGGAGATGTGCCTCTTGAAGAGCATGTCAGCCCTAATCATGGTTACCCTCCCAAAGGGTCTCCACAGGAAGGATGTGCAATGACTCCAAAGTGGCCAGGTGGGAAGTCTCAGCCTCCTCTGAGATCTCTGTGGGATCTAATGGGTAATACTGGGAGAGAAACCACCTTTACTGGACCTGTGAGCTGTAACCCAGACCTTGAATGAGAAGCAAAGATTATCAGACCCTCTACCAGGTCCTTTGCTGTTTTGCTTCAAAGGCAGCCCCAGAAAGAGCAAGCCTTCCATTCAGAGGATCTTTCCCTCCCTGTTGTGAGAAGGTGTTAATGTACCAAGCAGGAGAAATGCCAGGCAACGGGTACTGTTTGCATGTGAGTGTGTCCAGGATCAAAGTTGAGAAGCAAGAGGACCAGGAGGAGGAGCAGGGAGCAGGACAAGAGACCTATACACACCCACGTATACACACATCCGCATTAAGATGGAAACTAACTGCACATCAAAACCAGAAAACTGCATATGTGTGTATACCATGAAGAAGCAAAGAAAAGTACAAAAATACAGAACTTCGAACCAGAAGCCAAAGACAACAGCATTGTCAGAGAAAAATTACCTCTTGACATTAGGCAAAGTTTATCAAGAAAATTTGCCAAACAGAACCAGATAATTTGAATTCTGTAAAATTAGACAGAAATTCCACACTCCAGGGTCAGGTCATATTCCAGAAAGAGGGAGAACACTAGGCTAAAACTGAATTCGAATTTCATTTGAAAACGAAAATTTTAAAAGGC